GACGCTGCCTTGGCACGGCTCAGCTCGGCGCCTCGGTCCCGTGCAGGCGCTCGATTGGGGCCATGGCGGGCGGGCTGCTGCTGATCCCACCGATAACATGGATACGTCCCGGAGATTAACGTCAAATCTGGCAACGCACGACCCCGACAACGTCTTTGCCGCCGTACACCGAGGAAATGATTAAATCTTTGCTCGCTGCTCCTGATGGAAACGCAAATCTAATCCGTGCGTGAGAGATTACCCCGCGGTCTCGTGCACAAGTCGCTGTTCTGCGCGTCTTGTGATTTAACCCACTTGACTTTTCACCCGGGGGGAAAAAAAACGTGCTTCCTCCATAGGCTGATGCAGAAGCACGAGGAGAGAGCGTGAGGTAACTCCCATTCACAACTTTCACCACAAGCTCCACGTTTGACCCGAGTTATTTAGGCTACTGTGTGAAAGTGAATCGTAAAAGTATCCTCGAACTGAAGTCTGCTTATTTTTCTGCATGGAGGGACATATATGCAAATTAATGGTTAAACTTTTATGCTTATTGCTTTGCTCAGGATGTTCCACAGTCTAAACTTATTTTTCTCCATGCTATAATTGATTCGTAAGAGTAAGAATGCCCGTTTTTCCAAGGTGTTTTTGAGCATTATAAAAAAAATTCCAGTTTATGCCATACTTTGGAACATTACAGCACTGTGAAATCTAATAAGTAGACCGTAGGAAACCGATTGCCTTGAAAAATCTGGGACTGGGAATCTAAAGTTGATCTTACAAGTAATTCCTCGGTGTAGTGTGCAGTAAATTCCTCTTTCACTCAACTAGACTCAGGAAGTTAAGAGTCAAGGAAGGCAACTGGTGGACCCAAAAAATGAAGGAAAAGGATTTACTGACAAAAAAATAGTCTTAGGGGGAAAGTGGGTTCCAGGGATGGGTCCAGGCCGGCAGCAGACGGGAGGTAGGTGGTGGCTCGGACTCACCAGAGGTTGACGGAATCTGAGGCAAACGTGAAGAGGCTGGCTTCACCTGAAGGTACTGAAGAAATGACCAAAGAAAACCTGTAAGAATATAAAAATCTTGAACAGTCACAAAACTAGAGAAAGCCTGAGTATTGGTTCACCACTTAATGACGGAATGATCTGGCACTGGAGAGAAGGTCAGCAGGTCTTTTATGGCAGGAGATGGTTGAGTGATGAGGATCAGGAGTGGAGCTCAACAGGTGAGTGTAATTGGGATCCGCCCAGGAAGCTCCAAACAAGGTAAGGAGAGAAGGGGAGACGGAGCAGGGATAGGAGGGGTAGGAGGAGCAGGATGAAACCCTCACATTAAAGGTTGTATAGAGGATTTTTTAAGGAAAGAGAAATACAGCGACAGTCCTTTTTCAAATGTGCATGCGAAATAGAAATAATTTAGCGACCGATGCATCAGTTTTTAGACACTTTGTCTGCTTCAGTCACGCAATTGCTGGAAGGAATCTCCAAGAATCACCTCAGTTTGGTTTTGCTCCTTTTCCCCTTCTCTTCTTCTTTCAGCGACCTCAAAAATTGACTTTCTTTTGCGGCAAACTGGTCGTGGACTCTCGTCCGCCATCACAACAAACTTTGTGCGAATTGCAAGGAAGCTATAGTTTTAAAAAGCCTCTAAGAATCGCTGCAAAAAACACATAATTCCCTCACGCTGGCGAGTCAGTTACTCTAGAAAAGTAGGGAGTTTGATTGACAACCTAACAGCCAATAGAAAATGAGGCAGCCTCGTTATCTATTGGCTGATATTTATCTGGCCTCACTACGTCCACAGCTGATAGATTTTCATTCTTTTTTTTTTTTTTTTTTTTGGTCATCATAATTACAAGGCTGCTGCGTCTCTGTAATGGTATTTTAAACTTTCATTGACAATTTGAAATTAAAAAAAAATCCTCCATACAACCTTTTAAGTGTATTTTAGTTTTCATTCATAGACAAACTTTTGTCTAGTTGACAAACTGATTTTTCTCCTTTGCCATTCATGGAACTGTGAAGCTGTGCCAACTAATCAGTCAGTTCTTCAAATCTGAAATATGTAGTAACCTTTACTTTAAGAGTAAGTTCATCGTACTTGGTAAAACCATGGAAACCGATTGCCTTGAAGTGAGCAAATAAACAGGTTCTATTCTACAATAATGCCATTTAGATCTGCATCAGGTACACAAGGACTTGAATATTTATTAGTCTTTGAAAAAAAAACGTAGCAAAACTCTAGTTCAGGTTAAGTTCAAAACACTTTGTAACATGTTTAACAATAAAATAATACAGCTCAGTTATTCCATGTCAACTCAACCAACGCCCCCGCACTTAGGTCTCAAAAAATGCTGGAAGAAACAAAACAGGAGTACAAGTGTAATCAAGCACAGACTGAATGAACAGAGGGAGGAAATAGGGACATTTCTGGGTTGATCAGAGAATGAGTGGCGGCTATAAGAAAAACACAGAGGTAGCAACAGAAGGACCGGAACAGAGTGAGAAATGGAGCTGGACTCTTGGCAGTAATACGTCACTGCTGAAGTTACTTGTCTCATTCAAGTTGATCTTAGTCTAACTGACAAGTAATGTGCCTTTTTGCCCAGAAAGTCACTGTTACTTTACCACAATCATTAAGATCTACAAATTCGTAGCTGTGAGTAAAGTAAACGAGCTGAATGCAAGTTAACCCTAGTTTTAGATTTTACAGTGTAGCCTGTTCCCCTTGTTTGCAGGTACGCACACGAATTATTAATAATGTCATTGTGCAGGAGAGAAAGAAGAAGACAGAAAGGAACACTAGCAACAACAGATTAGATGTTCTCATTTTGATTTCATGTTCTTTGCTGCCATCTAGTGCAGAGAAATGAACGCTGTTTCTCCCATGGAATTAAATGTGAATATACTGCAGAATATTGTGATCTACTGAGACACAATTATGATCTAACTCGCATAGCTGTACAGAGACATGAGCTCTGCATGAAGGCAATGCTTGGGCAGTATTTCATCAAGAAACACATGCTTGGTGCACATTATGAAGCACAACTTTTTAAAATAGTTTTATTGACCTTAAACCAGGGATCTCCAACCTGTAGCTCGGGAGTTTTCAGCAGCTCTCCACCCACTTCCAAGTATGAATTATATGTACAGTATTGTCATTAATAACTAAAATTTGTCATTTTGATTCCTAACTTGTGCTCTAATAAATGGATAATGGTTTATGTTTAATCGGCATCTAACTGTACACTGTCTAAAGTTTGCCTTAGCTTTTCTACTTTCTCAATAAACCTTTTTCACAATGGCCGGAAGTGCCGCGATGTAGGGTAAACGTAACTCCCGGTTAATGCTTTTCTATGGCAAAATACCTGTGGAAATGTCTTGCGTATTTTCCACCAGCTTCATAAATCTGCCCCATCAACAAATCTTCAAGCAACAAGGTCAACAAAGGATAAACATGAAGAATGTATCCACAACTATCAAGGTAAGAAAGACAAAAACGTAAAGAAGAACAACGACGAGCATTAATGAACTAAAACTAATGTTATGGTCATGAATAAAACATAAGTAACTTGTTAACTCACACTGATTCTAGAATTAAAATAAAAAATCAATTTCATGATGTAGATATTAGTATAGACAGATTTGTGCAGTTTAAATGCTCGACATATCTACATCATGAAATCGATTTTTAATTTTAATTCTTAAATCAGTCTGAGTTAACAAGTTACCTATTAATGTATTACTTATTACTTATGTTTTATTCATGACTATAGCGTTAGTTTTGTTCAGTAGTTCACTAACGCTCGTCGTTCACCTTTACATTTTTGTCTTTCTTACCTTGATAGTTGTGGATAAATTCTTCATGGACAGAATACGTCCTTTGTGAAGCTGCTGGAAAATATGCGAGACATTTCCACAGATATTTTGCAATAGAAAAGCATTAACCAGGAGTTACGTTTACCCTACATCAGACATGTCAAATTCAGGCCCAGGGTCCAAATTTGGCTTGCGATATAATTATGTACATATACAAATATGTATCAGAGCTGGCCCGTCGGCTACAGATAGACTATAGAGACATTATTTATTTAAAATGTTGCTACTATTTATATTTTGCTTGTTCTGGATTCAATGTTTAAGCAAAACTATTATGAAACATTTAATTTAATATGTAATGTTAAATCCATTCTTATCTCAAAAGAAAAGAAAACATGCATTGTGTTGTTGAAATTATTCAATAAATATTTCGTTTGGCCCACGACTTAGTCCCAGGTTTTAATTTTGACCCTCAGTGAATTTGAGTTTGACACCCCTGCCCCTACATCGTGGCACTTCCAGCCGTGGTGTAAAAGATTTATTTCTTGCGACCGCTTAAATGAGTAGTTCTCTGTTATTTTCCTTTTATAAAGAGAGCTCACCAGAGGAAAAAGGTCAGAGAACCCTGCCTGAAACAAAACTTAATACTGTAATATATTACCTATAGAAACAACAAGAAAGTAGGTTCAAGGGTTCAAGGACTCTTTATTATCCACAAGGGGAACTTTGGTTTGTAGCGATGTCCTGTACATAACTTACAGACCACACACACAATAATAAAAAGCATAATAAATTGCAGCCTAATTGAGATGTGTAAAATAATAATAATATATGTACAACAACATTTACAATATAGACAAACACTCAATGACCCAAATACACAAGCTGCTCCACTGTTTGTTGACATAAGGGCTTCTCACAGAGTCTGTTCAAGCTCTGAGACACTTTCTGTTTACACTAAGAACAGTTTACTGCTGTCGTCAACATTAGGGAGGTTAAAGGTGCATTGTGTAACTTTTCTGGTGGAGGGAGTGGCAAATGTTTTTCTCCATGGAGATGTTATTGCTTTGTCAGTATGTTTTTAAACCTTTCTATCTTTACGGAGACCACACCAGACCAAGTTACAGGTCAGATTGGTGGAGAGGCAACCCCTCTCACAGTCACAATGCCTATTTTTCTACTTACTTTTGAGCTATAAATCCACCTGTAGCCAAGAAGTGTAAGGTAGAACTGTGTAGCTGTAGAACATTCCTGATAGAGCAAAGACATAGTGCACCTTTAAACCAGAAAAACCTTATAGGCTGATTTCAAAAGTATAATTTATGTGTATTCTTTTTAATTATTGAGCAATATGGAATACAATAGGAATACAATATCCTCCTGAGACCCGGGCCATTCATTTGTGTCTTTTATAGTGGACACTGAGTTTACCAGTCGATCTTTTAAATGTTTTGAGGGGGACTAGATTCCTCTGTCTAAATAGGGCTGGAGGATTATAGGGTACAATGTCCAGTTTGTCCATGTCCAGTTTGTGGCTGCACTATAGAAAAAAATAATAGAAAAGAAATTAGAAGTTGAGTTTAAAAACTGTAGAAGGTGGTCAGAGTTGTTTTGTTAGGTTGTTAACTTCACATGGATTTAACACCAAAATGTCCCCGGTGTCCATTACAGACAAAACTCATAAAATTAAAATTAACAAAAGGTTAATCCAAATAGAAAATCACAAAAAATATTTATATTGCAATACACTTTTTTTCTTCGGGTCACAGGAGGATATAAACAGTATTTGCAACATAATGGGGAAATTTCAGGTTACAACTATTGTGAGAAGAAACATCACAATTTTACAATCATTTACAGTTATTGTGACCTCTACCAAACAAATGTGAAATCTTTAATTCTCTTTCATAGTCATTGTCTAATCGATCACCATTCCTCTAGTGTGTGGTCAGCGTTTTGAAATTAAACCTTCTGAATCATGAAGTAGCATAATCAAATAGATAGAAAAACACTTTACATTTTAGTTTACTTTTTGATATAAAAACTGATTCTGAATTCTTTCTTTTGCTTTTAAATCCATGTTGAATCCCCAAATAATCATGACATGCCTGATTGCGCCTTACTCCACAGTCCTGGGCATAGAGTCGTAGAACCTTCCGTCCACAAAGTCTCTAATGAGTCCTTTCAGGCTTGAAGCTTGAAGTGAGACTTGACTTATAATGAACAAATAGTTTCTTAAGAGTGTATCATTATTACATCCTCTCCACAGGACGCCGAACAACCCTCTGTGGTACATTGCGCTTGAGCCATGGGTTGTAACAGGTAACAACGAGGGGTGGGACGAGACATGATTTCCACAAAACGAGACGAGATACGAGACTGGGCCCACGAGAACGAGCCAAGACATTCCTAATATACAAATTTCCCCATTCAGTTTCCAATTTTGGCCTCACAATTTTTTTTATTTGAGTTCATATTTTTGTTTCCTTTCTAGTACCACTTTTTGTAACTTTAAAATATGGAACTAACGAACACCCAATCCAAATGTAAACACTTGGGGTAAAAATCTCACGAGAAAATTTTTCTCATGTGTCTGCGATTTTCTCTCGCGAAATCTTGTGGCATAAGATCTTGTACCATGCCCAGTAACAACATAAATGAAAAAAATTGTGTTATGTGTCCTTTAAGGCCCTCAAATATACATCCCAGAACTAGTCACGCTCGGACGATGCACTATGGAAGTATTATAACCAATGAAAACCGGAGTTTGTGGAACGGGGTAGAAACTGGACTGATATGATGTGGAAGGATTGCCGGTCTGAGTGGTGTACGTCAACGGCACCGTGTTGTGGCTGGCGTATAATGAATTCCCCGGTGTGTACATGCTGTGCGGATGGCTGGAACTCCTCATGGAAGACTGGTGCGCTAAGTTCGCTTGGTACTGCAACACCGCGGTATCTGGCAAACCTGGGTTATAAACTATCGGAGCGTTGATTGGCGATCTGTGCGTGGAAGTCCGAGTCGAGGCAGAATTCGGAGGTGCAGAAAGGCTGGACACCGTCGAAAGCGGATCATACCTCATCATCGGAACGTGATTTGGCTGTTGCTTGTAGCGTAGCAAGTTCACGGGATGGTAAATGTCAAACGAACCCTTTTCCGATGGGAATTTCCGGCACAGGAACAACATGGCCGACGCAAACAAGACCGCCCCGGTGACCCAGCCGATGTAGAGCGCCTCTCCGAGTTCTCTCCTTTGGGCGTCGATCAGCAAAGGGTTGTAAAAGTCGCGGATGATGACGTGACCTGTCCAAGATACAGGGATGAAGACGCAAACGCTAGCTGCAAGTTGCATGGCGCCGGCTGTCATCAAAATTAACGTTTTGACTCGCTCGTTGGCCTGGAAGCAAGTGATGCATCTCAATCCGGCGCAGGCGACAAGAAGGCCCAATCCTGACAACGCAAGGGAGCAACACATAAGTCCCCTGGCAGCTTGGAGTTCCGGTGGTAAGAACAGTAACGAATCGTAGACTTTACATTGCATCCTGATGTTGGCTTGACGGTAGCAGTTCATCCAAAGACCTTCCCAGCGAGTTTCCATGACGATTATATTCTCGCCAATGAAAGCCGTCACCTTCCACATGGGCATGCCGGTGGTGGCCGCTGCGCCGATGAGTCCCAGGAGGCCCACAGCCACAGCGGCGATCTCGGTGACGCCTTGGATCATGATGACAGAAAATATGGACGAAAATGGAATCGAAAAAGTTAGTTGTCCATGTTGAAGAGATGAGGTGATGTGAGGTGGAGAGAGTGCAGGAGGAACTGGGTTGAGAAGTGGGAACGTTGGTTGTTTTGGGTAAAACAAAGCTCCTGGTTGGTTGAGGAGATAGGGGTGAAGATGACCTCTGTTTGTTTACTGTTTATACTCACTCTGGTATGGAGTGGTATAGAGTGGAATCGTACTCAAAACATATTTAGTAGGTCTCACGATAATTACGTTTATGATTTATGATAATTACTTTTAGTTTTTTTTATTTTATGAAAGCTGGAATTACACCTTTTGGGGCTCAATATTTAATTGTGTGTCCAATATGGAACCTACCTGGACGACTGAGAGATTACATAGATATAAGACTAGGGCTGGGTATCATTCAGAAGTTGCCGATACGATACATACCTCAATACATAGGCCACGATACGATACATACCTCAATGTAGTTTTGGTTCGATACAATATATTTCAAATTGAATCAATACAGTTCAGTAAAAAAGTAAAGGCTAAATCGTGGCTGTGATTCTAAAAGTCTTTGTTAAATCATGTCTTAAGCAAAGTTAAAATAAAATATACCCATTTTAATAATCAAAACAGTGAAAATATCAAATTTGTCGCATAAACGAGTTTCCTTCCTCTAAAAGAGCAACAAAACTGTAGCACTGTAACAAAAATATTTAGTAAACTATACCAAAAAATACCGATATCGATACTGTATCATCGCACTAAACGATACGATATATCGATATTTCAGTGTTTCTGCACACCCCTAAGTAAGACCACATGCTAATATACAGAAAGTATAATTATTTAATGTTGAAAACCACATTCTATTGTCTAAATAGTGTTTTTTTCTTTTCTTCGTGGTATCTGAATCAGAATTGAGTATGGAGTCTATCCCTTAGTATTGAAATTTTAGTATCGTGACAATACTATGTCCTTTTACAGATTACATGGGCAGAATCAGAGTGAATCTTGCTTTGTATTTTTCATTTTGAACTCTGTATTATTTCATTTTCTCTATTATGTGTTAAAATATGAGCTTGTTAGTCTTTACAAAGATTGCACACCTACTATACATTCTCACAAATAACATCTTAATGGAAAATGGATTCATAAATTGTTACAAAGATGTTTTCAGTTTAGAAATCCTCCACAAGGAAAACAAACAGTGCACACAAAACTGCAATTTCAATATATTTATTTTTCTCAGTTTATCAAAAAAGCAATTTAATATACAGTGCATTTCACACAGTCTTGCAGTACTCCTCTTGTCCACAGGAGGGCAGGCAGGGGCTTAGTGGTGTCATGTGTTTTGTCTATGGCTTATAATAAAATGAAAAGCTGATTTTTTTTTCACAATACATGTTCGTGCTGTTCAGAAATACACCCAGTCTTATTTAATTTAAGCAACAAATCCACGGACACAAAAGTACTTTATAAAAATCACAATGACAAGAAACAAAAGTACAAAAGAACAATGATACAGATAATTATGGAGATTGAAATGCATATTAGGCTTTTGCAAATCCTTAATCCTTAATAAATGAAATGTCAAAGAGTAAATATATTAATTTAAATATTGTATGAAAGTGAATTTAGTACAATTAACATGCCTCTTTAGGTTCTTTAGTTCAGTGAATACAATATTTTTAAAGTGCACTCTGTAACGTTTTGGTTTTGGGCCCATGGATTTATGACTGCTCTGTCTGGATTGTTCCACAGTATGACATTAAACAGCTCTACCTTACATTTATTAAATTACAGGTGGTTTTATCGCTCAAAAATACCTAGAAAAACAGGCATTCTGACTGTGAGCGGGTTGCCTCTCCACAGATCTGACCTGTAACTTGGTCTGTTTTGGTCTCCATGAAGTTAGAAAAGTTTAATGGCATACTGTGAAACATTCCAGACAAAGCAATAACAGCTCCATGGAGAAAAGCGTTTGATGGACCCTCCCCCAGAAAAGTTACACAATACACCTTTATGTAGGCCTATTATTTTTATTTAAGCTTTGTATTTATCCCTTTGTATGGCATTAATCGCATCCATCTTTCATTTAATCTATTATATGTGTTTTATTAACAAATACTACTTGATTTAATGTAATTTTGTAGCTCCTTGGAGAGTAGAAAGTTTCAGATTTTCCCCCTAAAAACTTACATATTACATATATTTTCTTTAAAAATGTACTCTTTTGAGCTTTAGACCATATTACAAGGTTGTTATCTCACGGAAAACATACTTGGAGTTGTATGTTATTAGGTTCTACAGACCAAGAGTTTGTTTTCATACATGACAGTTTCGACTGCTCACTAGTGGTCTTCCTCAGAGTGATCACGTGATGTCTGGACATCATGAAACTGTCAGGTATGAAAACAAACTCTTAGTCCGTAAAAAGAACCTAATAACAAAAAAATATCGGAAGACCAAATGAATCTCAGTGGACTATACTTGGAGTTGTGCTTTGTTTCATTCGCACATGCATTGAGGAATCCTTTATTATTATTAGTCTGTCTACATCCAAAGCTCAAAATGCTCTGTTCCAACCTGTGATATCACGATGCGGCAGTTTTCAAGTGAATCAAAGTGAAACTACCTTTACCTCTTGCCTAGATAGAAATTCCAGGTCTTAAATGATCCAAATGATTCTAGTGTGATTGTGCTTAAGAGAAGAACTCAGCCTAAATATGAAGTGTTTGTGTTTTAAACATGTGAGACTGAAACAAACTTCAGGTCTGTTTATGATGAGCAAACAACATTATAACAGATCATAAAATAACATAACATTGGCTCTTTATTGTTAATATCTGGCCATATATTCTAAGAAATGTTTTGCGATCACTGTCAACAACTTCACAGTAGCTGTAGTTTCAACCGAAAGCAGCATGCATGTCATTCAAAACAGTTTGCAAATAGTGGTCACATGATTGCAGTGGTAGATGAAGTAATCAGTTTTGTTAAGTAAAAGTACAGGTACAGAGGTAAAAAGTTACTCAAGTAAAAGTATCACATGAAAAATTCAACTTAAGTAAAAGTATTGAAGTACACATTGAGAGTAAAAAGTAAAAGTATTTCACACAGATTTTGAAAAAGTGTTATTCATTTGTAAAAGTGTTAAATGTAGTAATATTGATTCAAAATTATACAAATACAGCGCCAATGCGAATCAATTTTTCATTTTTCTTATTTTTTTCTCATGACTTTTGTGTATTTACGGCATGAACTCAAAACCTTTAGTGAGATTGTTTCCTCAAACACAGTAAAAAATAACCCATCGAATCATATGGAAACTACTTTTTACTTTTCAGTCCAGTTAAAAAGTGCAGTGGAGTAAAAAAGTACAGATACCTGCTCACAAATGTAGTGAAGTAAAAGTAAAAAGTACCCACTTACTTAAGTAAAGTACAAATACCTAAAGTCCAGTACTTTACTACTTGCACTTCATTCACCACTGCATGACTGTTTTATTGCTAGTACTGCTCCTTCTTTACAAATACAGCATGTATTTCCTGGGAACATACCTAAAACCTGCTGTGTGTGTTTTTAGTTAGATATTAGCTTCAACTTCTGCTAAAACCACAGGGCGTCTTTGTTTGGTGAGCTTATGAAAATATCTACAGCACTGTTTACGCAAAAACAACCTTGTATTTATTCCATGTGTAGTACAAAATGATGATATGCAATTTTAACATGGACTGCAATTTTATTTCCATCATCACTATTTGTATTTTATAGGGATGTAACGATATCCAAATCTCTCGGTATGATATTATCACGATGTGCATCTCACAGTACGATATTTATTGAGATATTTTTGAGAGGCTGATATAATTGTAGATAGGACATTTTTTTGCTTTTAAAATATCCTGACAAGATTTTGATATGAATTATTACTGTCACAATCCCAAGAATTCAATTAAAAAACATATTTCTTCATGTTGTCTGCGCTGAAATGAATCATGGGATATGTAGTTCCCAGTGTTTATAAGCTATAGGTTCTATAAAACCATGCATTTAAGCAAAGGATTTTGTAATTCGATATATTGTGACAGCTCATGATATTATTGTGAGACTTTTGACGATACGATATCACGATATTTCGGTTATTGTTACATCCCTAGTATTTTAGGTTTTGATTTGGTCATTAATAAGCCCATATTATGCTGTTTTCTGATATTTGTTTTAATGTTTCCTCATCACAAACATCCCTGGAGTTGTGCTTTGTTTCTTTCACACATTTAAAACACAAACGCTGCACTTTTAGGCTGAGTTCTTTCTCAAAATGAAAACTAAAAAACTCTGTTCCAACTTCTGTTGTCGGGTGGTAATACAGGAAGTGCTCCACTGTTTTTTAAACTCAATACACCTTCACTAAATGATTTCAAATTTGGACTTGTCCAGTGAACAAAATGTATTACAAGTTGGAACAGAGCATTTTGAGCTTTGGAGGTGTAGACAAACTGATAAGGAAGGGTTGCTTAAATGTGTGAAAGAAACAAAACAAAACTCCAGATACGTTTTTCAGTTGGTAACGATATTTTAACACGGCTTAAAAAAACAGTCAACATTGTGTATAGGACTTATAACAATGAATTGGACAAATCTGCTCATATACTTGACATTACCTCCATCAGTCAGAAGATAAAACATTCAGTATTTACATAATTCACATAGAGGTGTGTGTACCTTGAAATGGACATTACATTATGATATGATTATGCTTGTACTCTAGAGATGTACTGTAGTATGTTTAATCAAGTACTTCAACTGTTTGACTAACTACCACTGATAAGCAGAGGAGGAAAAGTAACATTTATATTCAAGCTTCCACTCATGAAACAATTGGACATGTGAAAACAAGGACTCAATGTTTCTCCGATCATCACTGAGATAAAAAAAAAAGATGCAAATAGTTCACTTTAAAGGACCTATATTACACAAAATTAATTCTTGTGAGTTTTAACCATGTTAGAATGTTAGTACCTCATCGAAAACATACCCAGACCTCAAAATGCTCTGTTCCACCTTGTGATGTCATCAATTTTTAAGTTTACTTCTATTTTTTGTTTAGTAGATATGAAATCCAGAGCTGAAATCGTCCAAATCACTCTAGTAAATGTTTATGAAGTTACAAAACACATAGGATCAGGGTTTCCTTTTTTTCTTTTTTCCTGGGGACCCATATTTTAAAAGTCACAAATCTTCGCAACCCAAGTCAATAGACATTATTCGTGACCATTATTGAACATTAATGAGGATATTTTATTGTTGACTGAGTGATTGTGTCTCTCTGAGCAATTGGTATTACTCAAGTTTTAAACAAGGAAAAACAGTTAATCAGTGTTTCCCAATAGGGGTGTAACGATATCCAAGTCTCACAATACGATTTCATCACGGTATGAATCTCACGGTACGATATTTATTGCAATATCTTGGGAAAGCTCACGATATGGTGGGAAGGCTCAAGATTAGAGATGTAACAATATCCAAATCTGTCTGTATTGATATTAATATTGTCACGATATACATCTCACGGTACGATATTTATTATGATGGAGGCAAACAAAACTCAATCACTACTTTTTCCTCTTAAAATACCTTGACAAGACTTAATCCAAAGAACTAAGACTTAAAAGTGCTTAGAACTGTTATTTCTTCATGAAGTCTACACTGAAATGGAGCAAAGGATCATGGTCTATGTAGTTCCCTCTGTCTTTTTTTTTTTAGCTATTGCTGCACCAAAACTCTTAATTTAAGCAAAGAGACTTGTAGTTTGATATATTGTGATGGTCCACGATATTATTGTGAGAACTTTGACGATACAATATCATGATATTTCGGTTACTGTTACATCCCTATTTCCCACAGAAAATTGGTAAGGCGAGGCGGTGCTTCCAAAAAAGCAAGGTGCAGGGATGTGCGGAGATGTATGAGTATGTATATTGTAGACCTACATGCAGATTGTGACAAGGAAACCCCCCAAAAAATCTCTTGTGACCCAGTCTTTGGGAAACAGTGCATTAGAGCACTTCCTGTATTACCACATGACATCACCAGGTGGAACAGAGTGTTTCCGTTTTGAGAGAAAAGCAGTTTGAATATGCAGAGCTTGTGCGTTAAACATGTGAATGAAACAAAACAAAAGTCCAGGTCTGTTTTTAACAAGGAAACATTACAACATAGGACAGAAAATAGAATAATAGAGGCCCTTTAAAGGTGCACAAGTGGTTTTCGTGAAATGTTCCTCATTAAACTTCCATCTACCTTACATTTCGTAGGGTATTTTCATGTCTAAAGTAACTTCAAAACCTGCATTTTTACTGTGAGCTCTTTCACATACATATTGCAGCTTTAAACTGACGTGAATGTTAAAAATAATTGAAGAATCAAAACCTTATTGTACTCTGATAATGCCCTGACACGGAGCTAAAATAAAATTCCAGATTATTTTACACTATGATCATTTTACACCGCCTCACCCTACTCAGTCCCACAGACTAAAGTCAATTAAATTAACAGATAGCAGTCAAAGTCTATAGGTAGGCCACCGCGCTCCTTACTGAGGGGTACCTGGCGGGCTGGTGGTTGCTGTGGTGGCTCTGCAGGCTGTAGTGGCTGTAGTTTGCCGAGGGGTGTCTGGAGAGCATGGGCTGGTCTCTGGGCTGAAGCTGGGGCTGGGGCTGGGGCAAGAAAACCAACTGCTGCGGCTGCAACTGCTGCGGAGGGTACGTGATGTAGTCCGAATTCCTGGAATACAAATACCTTTCCGAACCTTCCTTTTCGGATTTGACGTTGCAGCAGGTGAACATGCAACCTCCGGCGAATAAAAATGCAGAAGAAACCCAACCAATGTACAAAGCTTCTCCCAGTTCCCTCCTTTGCGCGTCAAGGAGCAAAGGGTTGTAGAAATCTCGGATGATGACGTGCCCGGTCCAAGAAACGGGAATCAGAACGCAAATACAAGCGCAGAGGATCATGATACCGGCGATGATCAAGACCATCCTTTTCGCACGGTCGTTGTTTTGGATGCAAGAGGTGCACTGAAGTCCTACCAAGCTGACAAGGATTCCAAGACCACCCAAAGCCAACGCGCAGCACATCAAACCTCTAGCTGCTTGGAGATCCGGAGGAAGAGCAAGCAAAGAGTCGTACACTTTGCACTGCATTCGGATGTCAGCTTGCCGGAAACAGTTCATCCAAAGTCCTTCATAACGGGTTTCGAAGACGATGATGTTTTCGGCGATGAAAGCAGTGACTCGCCATTGGGGCATACCGGTGCTGGCGGCAGTACCGACAAGACCGATCAAAGTTAGCAAAAGTCCAACGATTTCCAAAGCTGAGTTAGCCATGGTTTGGTCTGGAACGTCTCTCCTGTCCAACCATGCAGAGTATAATATGTGTAGAGCTGTACTAGGAAGCAGGAGAGGGAGTTTGCATCCCAGAGGAGGAGCAGTCGGAGCAGGTAAATGGGAGGAGTGGGAAATGCTACCTGTCGCTGAGTAACCAAATCCCCAGGCTATTTTTTTCTTCTTTGCACTTGCCCTAGTGTGAGCCAGGCTTTTGTTTGTTCAGAGTGCTCAGCTTACATCCAGACTAGTATTGTCACGAGAAGTTAAAAGGTGGAAGTAAGTAAAAGTAGTAAAGTAGTACTTAAGTAAAAAATGGAGGCATCTTTACTACCCATATTACACTGTTTTTGTGTTATAATGCTGTTTTCTTATCACAAACATTACTGGAGTTGTGTTTTGTTTCATTCACACGTTACAAATCCTGTGTATTTAGGCTGAGTTCTTCTCTCAAAAAGAAAAAACACTCTGTCTGACCTTGTGATATCATGTGGTGAAACAGGAAGTGCTCCACTGGGTTTGTAAACTCCATACACCTTGACTGGAATCATTTAGATAATTGCGTCCTGGGGGCAGCAGTCTAAGCAGGGACTCCCAGACTTCCTCACCCCGGACACTTCCTCCCGCTCCTCCGGGGTGACCCCAAGGCGTTCCCAGGCCAGCTGAGAGACATAGTCCCTCCAGCATGTCCTGGATCTTCCTCAGCTGCTGCTCTCAATGTGGAGGATCAGCGGCTCTGCTCCGAGCTCCTCTCGTGTGACTGAGCTCCTCACTTTAAACAGAGGAATCAATTTTGCTTAATACTGGACCTTTTTAAGTACATTTTAAAGTGGCTATTTTTTACTTTTACTTTACTTTTACTTCTAAGACATATACTAAAGGAGAAACTTTGCTCAGTGCCACACCATTTTAGAGGGAACAGTATTAGTGAGGTTTGAAATCCCAGTTGCTGGGTGAGTCCTATATGAGTCCTATATTATACAAAATAGACTCTTTAGTCAGTTTAGCTTTTAGCCATGTTATAATGTTGTTACCTATTCAGAAACACACATAGAGTTGTGTTTTGTTTCAGTCACACAAGTTTGTGTAACCCTTTATTATTATTATAATCTTTCTACATCTGCAAAGCTCAAAACGCCTCTTTTCCACCTTGTAAGTCTCAAGTTAACGGAAACATTTTACATTAAGTTCTTTTAGTACTTTTAGTAATTCCAGGACGGAAATCATCCAACTGATTCTAGTGAAGGTGTGTGGAGTTCGAAAAAAACAGAGTGGAGCAATTCCGGTATTACCACATGGAAGTGTTTTCTGCTTGAGAGAAGAAGTCAGCCTAAACATGCAGGGTTTGTGTGTTAACTGAAACAAAACACAACTGAAACAGCATTATAACATAGATGCCACTTAGTTAGACAATTTATATAATGAAAAAAAGAGATATGTGATTAGTTTTTTAAAGAAACATACACCTTTTTCCTCAATCAGACCAATCTTTTATAATCACCTCATCAGGTTTTGTCTTAAACCATATGATAACACAATAGATAGGTCTTATGTGCATGTGTCACTGTAGGTTTAGTATTACAGCTGACAGTGGGGGAGAGGGTGTGCCTGCCGGAGCCTCTGGATAAACTGGTCTAGTCACATTTACTATGACAACAATAGAGACACAAGGAGTTTCAACAGAACCCAAACAAGCTCCTGACTGCTGGGAAATTGCCAAACCGAGCCGTCCTTATAGTGACAATCAAATACAAAATACAACACTTTACACAGAAAAACTTAAATTATTAAATTGTGTGACGCTCTGCTCTGTCTGAGGCTTTATTAGACTTTAATCTGAGCTTTATAGGACTATAAACACTCCTGAAAATGTGTTTTTTTTAGATGATCTTAAAACTTTTTTGCGCAGTTGTTTGGTTATGGGTGCTTTGTGTCACCATGGTAACTGCTGAACATTCCACCATTAGACATATATACTGTACAAATCATCCCCTGCAACGTAGCAATCACATTAATATAAACTGTATATATTCTAAAAAGGCCAATAAGAACACAGACTTATCTAATGCCTCCATACAGTACATTATAGATTGAATGTTTTTCATTGTTTCTAGCACATTACACACAGGAAGTAGGTAAAACTAGTAAAACAGGTTCAGAAACACTCCTTGGTCTTATACAAAAGAAACTTGATGCGATTTTTAAATACTTAAAACTTTAATCAACACATGTCTTTAAGGAAATTTTGTATACAAAAAGTACATTTATCAGATACGGAGCCCGAAATAGGCCTAGTGCATAAAAAAAACCTCTCAAACCAGCAACCACAGTCAAACTCATTCAACAGTATTTACAACTATTCAAATGATAATTTTCACAGTGAAACTTGGCGTTCTTTGAGAAAACTGTAAAAATGTGGCCACTTTTCAGCCTCACTCCTGTCACACATTGTTAAAAGGCCCATATTACTCTATTTTCTGATCTGTGTTATAATGTTTCCTTGTCAAAAAACATACCTAGAGTTGTGTTTTGTTTCATTCATGCATGTACATTTAGGCTGAGTTCTTGCTCTCAGACACTGAAAATACTCTTTTTTTCCACCTTGTGATGTCACGTGGTAATATAGGAAGAGCTCTGCAGTGTTTTTAAACTCCAAACTACAATTTCATTAGAATCGTTTGGATAATTTCAGCCCCTGAATTTGACAAGCTCTACTAAACACAACATAAAAGGTAGGTGTTGACTTGAAAACTACTGCTTCATGACATCACAAGGTGGAATAGACCGTTTTAAGCTTTCGAGATGTAGACAGACTACTAATAAAGGACTCAAACGAGTGTTAATGAAACAAAACACAACTCCAGGTATGTTTTTGAAGAGGTAACAAAATTCTAACATGACTAAAAGTTCACTTTAGTCAATTTTGCGTAATATAAGTCCTTTAAAAGAGTCTATTGTCTCTAGAGTGGGTTAACTTTCACCCATTTCAGTACTGGGTTGGGGTGTAGGCAACAGACCCGGGTGGAGGAGCGGAGTAGGCTGGTTGGTAGCTGTAAGCCGGTTGGTACCCAGGTTGGTACCCTGGTTGGTAGGTGTAGGGTTGGTAGGTGTAAGCTGGTGGTTGCCCTTGGTATTTCAAGGCCTCTGCTTCTTGGGTACGTGGTGCGTGGCGACAAAGCAAGATCACCCCGGCGGTAAAAAGCAAAGCTGAAGTCACCCACCCAATGTAGAGCGCTTCACCCAACTCTCTCCTTTGGGCGTCGATGAGCAGAGGATTGTAGAAATCTCTAATGATGACATGTCCAGTCCAAGAAACGGGAATCAAAGTAGTTACGCAGCCCAGTAAAAACAAGGCACCCCCTACCACTAAGACGACGTGCTTGGTGCGAGCGTGGTGGTCGATAGTTTTGGTGCATTTCATCCCAACCGCCGAAACGATGAGCGCAATGGTCGTCACCGCCACCGAGGCGCACATGAGACCCCTGGCGGCTTGCAGATCAGGCGGAAGAAACAGCAAAGAATCGTACACCTTGCACTGCATTCGGATGTTGGCTTGACGGTAGCAGTTCATCCACAGACCTTCCCAACGTGTTTCCATGACGATGATGTTTTCCTCGATGAACGCAGTGACCTTCCACATCGGGAGACCGGTGACCGCAGCGACGCCGATCAAACCGATGAACCCGATCACCAAGGCGACCACTTCACAACAGATTGCGGAGCGGCGTTTTTTCATGTCAAGGCGTTTCTTCTCTTCGTAAATGGTGTCCGGGTAGTATTCGGTCTGGGGTCGTTTTTCATCGTAGTAGTAGGAGCCATCGGCATAAGTTTGGGGAGGTTTGGTGTAGCCAGTATAGCCGCTGTAGCCAGTGTAAACAGAGGCCATATTGGATTTTAAAAAAGTTAAAAATTACCAAACCAAGAAGCGAATTGTGGTTACTCTATCACAGTCCAACAATGAATCTGAGCAGCAGAGTCAGTCGGGCAAGATATACACCCAAGAAAAATGCTAATGTGAAACAATGCAATCCTACTGGTCCAACTACTTGAGAGTCGTCAGCTGAGCAGGGATGAGCTCTAGAGATTACGCTGCTTTCGAATGCTAATGACCCATTCAGCAGGTCATGTACACCGGTGATACAAGGAAAATGGATAAAATTCTAATGAAACAACTCCTAACAGCAGTTTTGAAAGATTTTCTCAGTAAATAATGGATTTCAAGAACATAGGCCTACCTTTTTGTGTTTTTATATGGTATTTTACTTCAAGTCACTACTTAGACTTAGATTTAGACACAGTAGCTCACGTATCACATTATATAACAATCCAACCCACTTTATTTCTATAGCACATTTCACAAACAGTTTCCAAAGTGCTGCACAAATACATAATAATAACAACAATAATAAAACAATAAAATAAACACTCAGATTTAATCATACTGCTGTAGTCTTAAAACAATAAAACCAGTAAAATAAAATAAGAGCAAAATCAGACTAGCAATAAATAAATAAAAACAATAAAATACATTAAAAATAAATAAAAGACACAGAGGACCACACAACTCACGTGGTGTAAAAAGACAGAAAATAAAAGTGTCTTTTAAGAAAATAACAAACAGTAAAAAATATATATAAACAAAAAAATGGTAAACGCCCATTGGACGGATAAAGTAAATGAAAATGAAATAAAATCTTAAAGTGCAAACAAGAATAACTTTAAAAGGTAGAGGTTTTTAGGAATTTTTCAGGAGCTACTGTACCTTGCTGCACTGGATTGACAAGAACAGTTATTCATTTGTTAATTGTTCATTTTAAACTTTTATTTTTATTTTATGTATTTACTTTGCACATATATAACATAACAATAAAAAAACAACACACTAGATAAAAAAGTAGGTGCCGGAATAGGCAAAAAAAACCCCAAATGGCTTATATTACAGTCTCCACCTTATGAATACAGAAAAAATTTAACATTATCACTGCACATAAAAAATAAATAAATAAAATTACATTTACACACCTTGGATTAAGTTAATTTGATTCAAACATGGATTAAAACACAATGAAACATCCACAATTGAATGATTATCAAACACTTCCTCACTCTCTTTTTAAACAACGCCTCTGATATGTCACTTGGTTTAAAATTAAAACTGGATAAATATTAGAACATGAAAAGATAGATCGCTGACATATCGCTTACATAATTTCCTGTTTCCTTCTTCTCTTTGTAGGCGGCGTCCATCTTGTTGTGTTCAGGTATTTTTACAACTGCGGCTTAAACACAACAGGAAGGGCACGGGAAGAGCGCACGTCCAAGTAGTTCAGTAGTTCTTTAAATCTGGATTATGCTTTTTTTCAAATTTGACTGTGATAAATATTGTAAAAACAGTTCCTTAAAGATTATGATAAAAAAATCCCATTGGCCTACTTATAATAAAATGCTTAACATTAATATACAAAAAAGGTGATTATCCTATTTTTGGGACTATAAGTCGCACTTTTTTTCATGGTTTGGGTGTTTCCTGCGACTTATACTCCGGTGTGACTTATATATTAAAATTTTCAGACTGACAGCCACGAGAGGCTCTAGTCTTGTGTGTCAGTATCTAGTACTACTATTACTCCTGTACCACTGTCACTTCGCTCTACTGTGCATGCCTCCTGTAAAAAATGTCGCTGTCTCGCTACAAATAGTGAAATATGCACCCGAAAACGGTAATCGAGCAGCAGAAAGAAAATTTGGAGTGAGCGAGAAACTTGTGAGGGACTGGAGGAAAGCAGGGATGGAGAACACAGCTTCACGGCAACTGGGCGGGTGCGCTATGTAACTTTCCTAGAAGTCACTGGATGGATCGACAAAGCCTGGACTTCAATAACAACTGTAACCATCCTGTCGGGATTCAGAAATGCCGGAATAATTCTAACTGGAACTGATGCTGAGTCTGACGACAGCTACGCAGAAGAGGAAGCGGCGCTTTGTTTACCTAATGGATCTATGGTTTATCTCTGGAGGTTGCGCAGAAGTGACACCAAGGAAGAATTCAGTGGATTTAGTGATCGTCAGAGATGGTGAGTTTGGTAAATTTATGTTCTGTTGTTTATGCTATAATTATCTTAATAACTGTTAATATGTTACATTAACATATTAACGCCTATTCAGTCTGTTGTTCTCTGTTCTATTGTTTTTACTATAACTTGCCTTTAAAGATGAAATGTCGGTTCCTGTTCTCTGATTTTATTAAATACATTTCCCCAAAAAGTGCGACTTATAGTCCGGAAAATACGGTATATGATATTATCTATTATATATAAATCTGAGTCAGTGGTTGAAAACAATAAAGTTAATAAAAAATACAGCATGTAACTTTCTGAAAGGCATGTCCAAAAAAAGATGGATAGATTTTGTGAAATACTGTGGAATAAGTTTTAACATTTCCTTGGAAACAAGCAGGAGAAGGGCGTAATAAGAGTCAAATTTGTGGTGATGCAAGCCCACTCACAGTAAGAAATCAAAAAATTAATAAATACATAAATGAGTGTGATAAACACAACCAAAATGACAAAAACATGCTTTAATTTTAGTGTCTATTTGGTTAAAAAGTGACATATTGCGCCTTTAAGCAAATTTCACAATGGAATCGATACGTCACTACATTTGCGGGCTGGTATTTTTACTTTCTATTCCACAACACACACCTGAATTTAAAAAAAACAGAGCACAAAATACGTGTGAAATGCTGTTAGCTTTTTACTATCTCATTCATTTTGTGTTTTATACTTAGATGCTTTTCATTCCTGCTCCTTTTACTGAAGTTAAAAACTAGTTTTTCCTCCACTGCACTCCTCAACTAATGTTTCCTGTAACCCAGATATTTTCTCACAGCCGTGCTCTACTGACTTGTGTCTTGTTTTGCCCCAGTGCTCAGCTTTGGCCTGTCTACTGTGTGTAAGCTGAGTGGAGCAGAGGTGTGGAGCGGGAGAAACCAGAGAGGGGCAGGTTTCAGTGTAACTAAGTCCAGGCGGAGCTCCTGTGTGCCAGCCGTTCACACCTCGTCAGCGGCCTCCTCATGGCTCTGCTCCATAATGGATGAGAGCGCTTTACTGCTCTGATGCTTTTAACACGTCTAAATAACAAGTGTATAGGTCCTATGTGCAATACATGGCAGTTTATTTGGAACATAACTGCGTGTCTGGGCTCTCATCCGTGTTCTGAACTGTAAAATATATTCTCTTTTGGTTTTCATATATCATAATAAAGCAATAAACGCAGCTGAATTGTGCAAGTAGCATTTATATTACAATAGACAACAAGTAAGAACAATATAACAAACAAAGCTGACATGAATGAACTGATTTGGAAGAAATTATAATCGTATAGTAACAAATATTTAACTACAAATGTGTAATTTTGTATATATTATCAGCATTTATCAAAAACAGTATCAAGAAATATATAGAAAGAAGACAGAAACAGATATTTTGATTTATAAAAAGCACATTTTCGGGTAATAAAGAACAACTGTAAACAAAAATTCTCATCTTTCACAAGAGAAGCCACACAGACAAATAAAAAAAAGGTTGCATGCTCTATTACAAAAACAATTACAGTGAAATAAAAGTAGATTGTACACATGTAGTTTTTTCTTGGGGATCCTTCAGTTTCTGTGTGTGTGAATGTATTGTCAAGCAAATGCAACTCAGGACAATAATGTTCAAATAATGTGCAAAAAAAGTGCAGTTTTCTCTCGATAGAAGCTACCATCTGTAATTATGTTGTTGTATTCTCACATGTCACCACTAGATGCTGCGTTACTGCCGTCTGATAGTGCACCAGGTTTGGACTGACAGAAGAAGAGCAGAGAGCACAGGGGAGTCTGAGCAAAGGAGAAGTGAGTAGGGTGTGCAAAACTATTGATATATCATATAATTTAATTTGATGATACAGTATTGATGTCATGGACTGCTGTATTTTTAGGTATATTTAAATTATTTTCTGTAAGAGCTACAAATGTGTGACATTTTCACTGATTTAGGCTTTGTTTTTTACTGAATCGTATATATCGTATCGAATCGTATTGGATTGAAAGTGCACTGTATCAAAAAGCATATCATATCATGGCCTGTGTATCGAGGTATGTATTGTATTGGCAACTTCTTAATTAGAAGTGAGGGAAGCAAAAAGGAGTTCACATTTGCCATTTACTAGCGAAAAAAATAAAATAAACTTGCAGATGGTAGCTTTAAACTTGCACTGTAACATTTCTGGTGTAGGATCCACTTTTCTCCCTGAAGATATTGCCTGGAATGTTCCACAGTATGGCATTACACTTATTTATCTCTACGGGTCCAAGTTACATGTCAGATCTGGGAGCGGCGAATCCGCTCACAGTGAAAATGCAACTTTTTAGGTCAATAACAACCCACGTTATAGAATAAATGCATGATTGATACGTTTAATAAATGCCATACTGGGACTTTACGGGCAAAACAATAACATCTCCATGGAGACAAGCTGAAAGGTTACACAGTGCAGCTTTAAAGGCCAAATATACAAAGACATACAAAAAGAAAACATGACTAAACCATTCTTGCAATGACAACAATAATTAGTTCATATACGAACAAACAGGTCTTTCCAATCCATGTATCATTGGTTCATTCGTTTTTCAATATAAAACCAGAAAAAGAAACAGTTTTCTTCATTATTTGTCTCTAAAGCCAAAATGAAAAAACGGATAATGATTCATTTTTTCATTTTTTGATTTTGTGTTTAAAACGGATAACGGCCGTTTCCTGTTTCTGTGACTTAAACTGCAATGCCGGACTTTTGCGCCACATGTGGACTGAAGCAGGACTGAATCGAGACTAAACCAGGACTAAACTAAGGCTAAACCAGGATTAAACCATTTTCAGTCCTGGTCTGATCCTGGTCTCAATCCCGGTTTCAGTCCTGGTCTGGTCCCGGTCTCAGTCCTGGTCCCGGTCTAAGTCCTGATATCAGTCCTGGTCTGGTTCCGGTCTGGTCCCGGACCTGGTTCAGTCCGTATGTGGAGCAAAAGTCCCTCATCTCAGTTTAAGTCACGGAAACGGGAAACGGTAGTTTTTTCCATTTTTTCATTTAAACACAAAAATCAAAAAATTTAAAAACGAATAGTTATCCATTTTTTCATTTTGGTTTTGGAGACAGATAATGAAGAAAATAGTTGTTTTTTTCGTTTTCTTATTTTTGATTTTATACTGAAAAACAAATGAACGAATGATACACGGATTCTTTTCCTTAAGGTCGTTGGTGTTGAAGGTTGTCATAGATTTGGTCGAAAATATCGAAGTTAAAGTTTGAAGTAACTTGATTAAAACAATTTCAGATTACTCTACATTCAGTTCAAAACTATCAAGGTAGTATTTCAAAGTACCTTTCAGAGTACTTTCACAGAACTCTTCACACATACTCCATGGTCTTGTGAGTACTCGACGGAATTCTCTGGAGGTACACGCTGTCCGCTTTGGGCGCTAGATCGTACGCTCCCGGATACACCCCTTCTTTCTCCTCCATCTCCCTCCTCTGACAGAACCTCACCAGTAAGATCACCCCGGCTGCGAGCAGTAACCCCGCGGTCCCCCATCCCACGTACAGCGCCGGCCCGAGCTCCCTCCTCTGCGCGTCCATCAGCGTCGGATTGTAGAAGTCCTTTATCACCGTATGCGCCACCCAGCAGACGGGCACGAGCGTCGTCAGGCACGCCAGCAGGAAAAAAACGCCGCCGACAACTAGCAGTATCGTTTTAGCACTCGGGCTGTCGTTTCCGCAGGAAGTCACCTCCGTTCCGGATATGGTGATGGCGAACGCTATGAGGGCTATCACTATCGCCGCGCACACCAGCCCTCTTGCCGCTTGGAGCTCCGGCGGTAAGATCAGCAAAGAATCGTACACTTTGCACTGCATTCTGTCGATTTGTTTGTAGCAGTTCATCCATAACCCCTCCCAGCGGTCTTCCATTACGATCAGGTTGGCGCCGATAAAAGCCGAGACTCGCCATTGCGGCATCGCGGTGATGGCGATGATTCCGATGATCCCCAAGCTGCCCAGGACCAAAGCGACGATCTCGAGTTTGGCTCTCATGGCTGCAGAGAGAAGGGAGTGTAGACTGTCTGAAAGCTAAATGCGTTCTGTTCCGACTAGGCCACATGTCAGCGATGATATCCACAATGCAATGCCACCGTACTGGTTTAGTGGACACTGATGGAGAATGTTCCAAATGAAAGCGATGCAGTTACCTATTGTGGTTTCACCTTCCTCTGGAATGTGTAATAGTAGTTTTGAAGAAGGCTTGGCACATGATTATTGATTTGTGTTGTAGTTCTACTTTGCATATAGGGTGACTACATGTACCCAGGACAGTCCAAGTTTGAATGAATGAATTAATTTCATTTTAAAAACATGCAAAGAATAAAACAGAAGTCATGTCATCGCAAGAGCAGTCACTTTAAAATGATATACAGACATGCAAAAGCCACGTAGTTATACGTTTACATGTTCAAAAAGAAGTGGGAAGAAGTAGAATTAATTTAATCCCATCCCCTTTCTTAATTAGTTCTGAGTTTCAGATGATTTCAGCCATGTGTCAGTGTGCAAGTATACTGGTGGTAGACCTTTTCTAGCCCGATTCATTAGCCGGTTTCACTTCATAGAAACTGTCTGATCTTGTAGTGTTGGAATTTGCTCGCTCGATGGTTGGCAAGTACTTTTTTTATTTCACCAATCGCTGCTATTTGGTCGTGATGGCGCTAACTAGTATATTAAGCTTTTACCAAATCCTGTAGGAAGAAGGGCAATAACATCTTTCCCCTTGATAAAATTCACCATACATTCTCTTTGTTAAATTCTCGATCTCGGGAAGCGTTGCCAACACAGAATGTATATCTCTTCGCTGATTGGCTGGTGCCCGAACTCACATTTCCGGTGTTTTTCCAACCCGTCTAGTGTATTCCGATTCCTGACCTAGTCGCTGGAGAGAAATGAAATTGAGCGGAGGTTAGACCTTTTCTCCCGAGTACTGGAGATTTTAAGGATTGATCTGCTACTGTTTTGTTTTGTTTTTGGGTTCTTTTTGATTCCATTTGTTTTACACTGTTCGTTCAAAAGTTATATCATACATTTTAGCTCTACTGCTTTAAATAAATGTGTTTTTTTATCGTTTTATCATCCATGGGCTTTTAGCTTTAGTTTGGTTTAAGTTCCCGGGTTGAACTTGGGAGAGGTTTAGCCCGTACCTTTGTTTACACTTTGGGTTTTTTAAGTTATTTTGATGTGATTGCGTGGTAGCACTTTCCGCTTTGTTCTGGGTTGTTTTTGTTTGGTTAATTTGTAACATTTCTTTCTGTTTTCAGGATTTGGTTCCTCCACTCAGGGGCTGCAAGGTTTTATTCTTATTTTAGTAGATTTGATTAATTTTGGCGATTTTATAGTTTTATCCACTGCCTGGCTCTTTTGTAAAAATAAATTATTTTTAATATAGTTCTGTTTAGCTGTGCATATGACTGAAAGATTTTCATTCCGCACTCTTCTCTCTAATTTATGTAATTAATGTCTCTCTTTCTTTTTAATTTTACGATGATTATTTATGTTTTGATTAGTTTTTAGTGTGATTTTAATGTATTTCTTATGCTATAAACCACTTTGAATTACTTTATGTACGAATTGTGCTACACAAATAAACTTGCCTTGTCTTAATTTTCACTTGCTCCTTTTAGTCTTTTAATAAATTTGAATTACATATTTTAAGTCACGTCTCTGACCTTTTATTTACATACGTACTTTACATACCTTGATCATTTTATGTGTTTATTTATTGAAACAAAGGCTACCTTAGGTCACACATGTTTTATACAAATATCAAAGGTATCCCTAAATACAAAACAAAATATAAAGTACAGAAAACCGGGCTTGAAAATGACCAAAAAATGCATTCAGCTGCTCTGACTGAAGTACCTCAGGTGAGTCAAGAACGGACAATGTTACAGGTTTTTTTCACTTTTCTTTGTTTATACCAACCATCCCAACCCGGGTGTGTCCCAGTTCTAAATTTTGAAAAGCTGGTCACTCTATTTGTGCACGTACAGGAAATATTCCATGTAAACAGGAACATATAATCTAAAGTTAATGATGAAACTATAAGACAAAGAAAACAAATCAAATCTGGTCTTACATAGTTACAGCGTGATGCAATACCTGTAATTATGAGTGACAAGCAGCCAGAACAAACATGACTGATAAAAGACAAGGCTGACAAGTTCTAAAAAAAGAAATAGGCCTCCAGTATAAACTTTATAGGAAGTTTGCAGGCGTGGACTTCCGGCTCCCATTGACTTTCACTGGAATATTGTGACCCCTCTCTGTGTAACTGCTGCAGTGAGTCTCGACATTTTGGTCTTAAAATGTTCATATTAACCCGCTCTACATGATCCTGGTGGGTTTTTTCTCACTATTTTGTTTGTAGAGACCAAGACCAGTCCAAGACCAGGTCCAGCTATTAGTGTTGTAGTCAAGACCGCACTAATAGAGACCAAGACCAGTCCAAGTCCAGGTCCAGCTATTAGTGTTGTAGTCAAGACCGCACTAATCGAGACCAAGACCAGGTCCAGCTACTAGTGTTGTAGTCAAGACCGCACTAATCGAGACCAAGACCAGTCCAAGACCAGGTCCAGCTACTAGTGTTGTAGTCAAGACTGCACTAATCAAGACCAGGACCAGTCCGAGAGCATAGGGTACCGAGACCAGGACAAGACCAAAACCTCTGAGGGTCGAGACTGAGACAAGATTGAGACAAAAACATACCTGGAGTTGTGTTTTGTTTCATTCACACTTTGTTCCACCTTGTGATGTCATGTGGTAATACAGGAAATGCTCCACTCCATACACCTTCACTAGAATCATTTGGATTATTTCAGCCCTGGAGTTGCCGATCTCTACTCACCAACATGTAAAAGGAGTTGTTCTTCGTCTTCGTCAACTTTGCCCTGACGAAGACCATCTTGCTGGTTGAAACGCTTTGGCATCCCTTCATGTAGTAAAGGACTTTTAATATATTCAGTCGGAGTGCCTCGGGTTTGTACCATAAACCATTTTTACATTTTCCTGTAAGGGTAAGTTTCTGTTCTAAGACAACTCCAGGTCTGTTTTTATGGAGGTAACAGCATTATAATATGACTTCAGGCTCACAGGAGTGAACTTTGAGTAATATAGCACCTTCAAATCCATTGTGAGTTGGGTTAGTGGTCAGTCCATTGGAAGTGCAAAAATTGAATTTTGTGGCAAGTCTATTTTAAGATTTCCCGAAAATCCTTCAGTTAACATATTTTTAATCGTTACCTTTGTCTCTCTCTTCTCCACTGTGTCCAGCTCTTTTTCTGATTGATCTTTGGTAAAGGTTCATTCTGTCTTCAGTTATTAACTGAGAGTTTGTTTACCTGCTTTACAGGAAGTAGCCGAAAAATGTTAAGCTTCTAAAGAAACTCTACTGTCTGATTCTTGAGTTGAAGATTTGAATTCTAATTCTATGATACTGACCATGTTTTTTTTCTTTTTTAATTTTGTATTGATGTAATAAAGCAAAAATATTCTTGCCCCAGTGCTGATACACTGTAAAAGGAGCTCTTATGGTGACAGTAACACAACTGTGGCCTGTCTGAACCAGGAAATAGCACGGTTAGCATGTTTACTTTGACACAACTCTAGCCTCTGAAAACTGTTTTAACTCACTGTGACTAATAATTAGGAAAGTGATAAATAACATATTGCTTCAAAACATTCAAAACTGACTTCTGTTTTTCACATTAAAAAAAATTGGGTAGCCTACAGCACATTTAAAATTTTCTGATCTATGTTATATTGTTTCCTCTTCACAAACAAACCTGGAGTTGTGTTTTTGTTTCATTCACAATCTTTTTATTTTAAATTTTTATATAATTTTTATTAGTGATGCAGAAGACATTCACACATGTTTAAATCTGCATATTTAGGAGTTCTTCTTTCAATCGGAAACCACTCTGTCCCACCTTGTGATGTCATGTCAAGCGCAGGAAGTGCTCCACTGTATTTTTAAACTCCATACACCTTCACTAATATTATTTGGATGATTTCAGGCCTGGAATTGCAGATCTCTACTGAACTAAAGGTAAAACGTACCTGTGAACTTGAAAATCACTTCAGGTGGTGTAGACCATTGTCCCAAAGGCTGGGTCACGACCCTCAGGTGGGTCGTAAGAGATTTTTTTTTGGGTAGCCTTGTCACGATCTGCATGTAAGTCTGCAATATACAGTTCTGACACATGTTGAATGTATCATTTCTAATCTTTTTGTAATTATTGTATTGACTATTTTGTTCCAGTATTGCTAGTTTAATTGAATATTGAAAAGAAAAAGAAATGGGCTACATTTAATTTCCGAATAGGTGACTTATGGATACATTTTATTGCTGGTTCAGTTACTGTTTTTCATCGTTTAAAACCTGAGTAATACTAATTGTTCAGAGAGAAATGATCACTCAGTCAACAATAAAATATCCTCATTAATATTCAATAATGTTTAAATCCACCTTTATTTTGAGATTTGCGAATAATGTCTATTGACCTCTGTTTTGCATAATATATACAAAGACTTGTATCTATAATTAAAGGTGACTGAAACAAAACACAACTCCAGGCATGTTTTTGATGAGAAAACAACACAATAACATAGATCAGAAAATAGCTCAATATGGGCTAAGGATCAGTCTCCATGAAATTAAGTCAAGTAAGTGTTTTGTGTGTTTTGCCAACTGTCCATCCCTCTATAAAAACACAACTCCAGGTCTGTTTTTGAGGAGCAACATTATAACATGACTTAAAGCTCACAAGAATCAATTTTGAGTAATATAGAACATTTAATGATTACTTTAGTGGCCTATATCAGTACACAGCCTTCAGAGTTATCCAAAAGCCTTTATAGTCAGTAGTTATCTAATACAGGTTCTTCAATTTAAGACTTATAAAAACAAATTATACAAGATAGAGGAGATAGAAAATGGATTGAGTTCTTGTAATGTGAATGATGTCATACTCCAGCAAAAACAAACTTTGCCTAAGCCACTCCCACTATTCAAACTAGGCAGAGAGACAGAGAGACAGTGGTACAGTCCAGAAACAGGAACAG